CTAATTTGTCTGCACAAATGGGCATGCCCTTCGTCATTTGCAGAAAGGTCTGAATATTTAACAGGCATAAAAGTCTTTCTATAGTCACCAGCACACTTCTGCAGCCATATGCTGTACCAGTCTTCTCCTTGCTATCCACACTCCAGCCATGCTGGTCTACTCTTAGGTCCTCAGATAAGCCACACTCCCACCTGCTTCAGGACCTTTGCACATGCTGTTTTCCCTGACTGAAATACTTCTCAAATCAAGCATCAATCCCTTAAGGATGCGACTTCCCTCAAGAGTAGACCACCCATATTTCCTTTTTTTTTTTTTGGTTTAGAAACTTATTTTGTAATTGTGTCTTTACATACATGGGTATGTAGTTAATGACTATCTCTGCTTTAGATTCTAAGTTTGTTAAAGGCAGATATGCTACCAGTCAGGATGCTTGATGATAAGCAACAGAAAATGATTCTGGTTGAATTTAAGCACCAAAGAAATTTACTGAAATATTTGGAGTTAAGTTCACAGAATCGGTGGAGAATCGGACATGAAAGATGATCAGGAACTAAGGTTGACCAGGCAGCAGGGAATGTGGCCAAGGTCAAGTCATGGAGCAGTCCAACTGGATACTCCACTGACGCTGCCACTGTACAGTGGCACCAAGAGACAGCCATGCAACAGCCGTACTCTTGGCAATGCTGCTTTGAGTAATTTCTCAACTGGCCTGACTTATGGCTTTGTGTCCTCCAGATCCGTGTCCCAGGCAGGAGAGTTCAGATAGCTGAGCCATGCCACATGCCCATTCCCGCTGGCAGGGAACAGGACCATCTGGCCTCCTCCCGCAAGACTCACACAATGGGGGCACTTCCCCTATTAAGAAGGTTGTGAGGATGCCAGGTAAGGAATAAAAAAACCACCAGAGAAACCATATCTGTTCAATTTATCATATATACTCAAAAAACTAGCATGAAGTATGGCATAAAATAGGACCAAAAAAATGTGAAGAAACGGATGAATGAGCAAGGTTGGGAATCTTGGAGGGCACAGACTATCCAGCTTGTGCCTGCTTCAGCGTAACCACCCATGGTCACCAGGGACTCTGCACTCCAGCTGCAACCAGTGCTGGTCAAACTGGCTACTCAGTCAAATTCACCTTAGTCCCACTGAGGCAAGATGAGGCGATAAGAGCTCTGTGAGCTATCGTGAATGGATGTTATTAGATCCATTTTATGTTGCAAATGTGAGGTTCAGGGAGACGAGTTACTGTATTCAAGATCATACAGCTGGGAAGTGAGAACCAGGATTGAAGTCTCTTCTCCTCTTCAGTACTTTTCGCACATTCTGTATCATGTTGTTTCAGTTGCATATTACTGTGCTTCAAACCAAGATATTGGGGCAGCCAGAACAAAATGTTCTATCATTGAATATGTTCAACCATTCAAGATATATGCCAGATAACAAGGGAGCTAAGAGTGCTGGGACCCTTGGAGAAGGGACTCATTCCCATCTAGCATGGGAGTCAGGAGGGTACAAGGCTTTTAAGGAATTTCACTGATCTAATTCAGATCCCTTTCCTTCCAAGGAGACAAGATATCTTGGTAAGTTGAGCAGACTGCTTTGTAAAACTGCTGGTTAATGTGTTCAGACCATCACTCTGGATCCTTTCTCTCTTCCTTCTTACCCAGCTTGGCTTGGACTCCCTTGTATAGCATGGACTTGAGAATTTCTACTGAAACTGAAGACATACATCTTGCCAGTGGACACAATTCTCCTGTTCTCAGGTCTGGGCCCCCTATCTGTACCCAACCACCCAACAATTCCTTCCTTGAGCTCACCATAAAAGATAATAATGAAACCTCAGGTGGTATTTAGTAATGACAGAGAATGGTTCCAGGAGGAAAAATACAATGGGAAGATGTCCACCAGGACTTACTAGTAACTGTAAAAGAAATCTATTCAGTTTCCAAATGGTCCTTTGTTTTAAACAAACAGATGGCTTCCTAGGTTGCTCTCGTCTCCTTAGTAGCAGAAGTCTAGGAACAGAGATGTCTCCTTAAGAAAGCAGAGTGGAAGTTTTGCTCACACTCCATTGAAAAGACCTCAACATATGACTCGTAATTTTTGTCCCAGTCTCCTGGGGTACCTTGCTGCACTTCTAACAAGAGTAACCATACTAAATATGTACTTAATTGGGAAACAAGTGGAATAAACACTGGGCTATAAATGAAGAAAATAAAGCCCTGTTTGACTTGGGTAAATCGACTCTCCTCTCTGGGCTTTATTTTCCTCACCTATAGAATGGGGGTGCTGGACTAAATGACCCTCCAATCTCTCTCCAGCTCTGACATTCTGTGATTCTACTTAGAAAATGATGATGCAAAAATTATGTAAGCAGAGCGGCGGGAGGGGGGGGGAGGTGATCTTAAAATTTCTCCAATCAAGAAAATAGCAAGAGTGGAGAAAGCCCTGGTGACCTACACAAGGAAATCAGCTGAGTCTCCTCAGTAAGCTGGAAGACAGGCTATGACTTGCTGGGTGAGCCACTCCTGTTCCTCACATTCCTTTCAAGGGCAGCCCTAGGCCTGAGCTCACAGCAGTGAACTGTAAGTTTTGGGAGAAGGGGGGGATCCTGGTGGTGGATGCTAAATCCCTGAGGATAGCTGGTTTTAAAGGCCTGTCCTCAGCAGAGGCAAGTGAATTTCAAAACAGAAGCATGAAGGGGCTCTTCCTTGGAAGAAGTAAGTAAAAAGGGTGTCTTCACCTGCTAGGTACCTGGGCTAGGAAGCCTAAAGCAAGTGTCTTAAGGCCTGGCTTTGGCACCTGGAAAATGTGTGTCTACTAGTTGATTCAACCTCTTCAGACTTCAGTGTGCTGACATGTGACATGGATACAACCTAGAGAAGAGAAAGTATAAAATAGACTGAAGTCCAAGTGCCCAGATTGTTCTAGGCATTCATTATCAATGACCTCGCTCAATCTTCTCAAATAGTGATTTGTAGTTTCATTTAACAGATGAGGAAACAGGAGTTGAGTGACCCAGTGGAGCAAGATTTGAACTCAGGTTTGTCAACACTTGGGTTATTTCCAGCAAGTCAACATCTCAAAGAGGTGAGAAGGTGCTTTGAGAACTACAAGAGCTATAAAGTACATGAAGTTGTAGTCCTGAATGAATGCAGAAACTTAAATATTTTCCAGAAACGACATTCTGATGGAGGAATAGGTTTTTTCAAGGAGTGTCCTTTGTTCAGCTGCCCACTCCACCCTTAACCTATTTCTTTTCTAGGCAGTCAAGTGAGTTTTTAAAAGCAACTCTTGAAACAATGAGGCTATCTAGTTCCAGCTGTGCCATGGACACATTAATCTCAAGAAGTCACTTGTATTTTCATCCATGAAATCAAGGGTTAGGTCAGAGGTGACTGCCAAGGTTGCTTCTGCAACTGAGATTTGGAAATCACCCAGGTGTCCCTGGGAATAGAGAGTTTCACTCTCACTGTTAGGAGCCTATTTAACTTCAGAGGCTTTGGCCATCCTCTCCCCTTGCTAAGTCCCATTTGAGCCTGAAAGGAGGTTTAGGGTCTTGAGGGAGTCCCTCCCTAGCTGGATGCAGATTTTGAGATCTCTAGCCATCCTAAAGCACCCACCACCAGTTCAAACCAGCCACAGCCTCAAGCTATGAAGACAGTGGCTGAGAGCTGTCTCCTCCCAGTTCTTCCTGGTGGGGGGTTTTGACTATAGAGTCAAGATGGAAGGAGGGGCATGAGATGGATTCTAGGAGAAGAAACTGAAGTCCTGGATCTAGGTTATTTGTTGCTGAGTACTCGATACACCAAGCACTCCCTCCTTTGTACACACCCATTATTGCATCAATTTCCTAGTAACTGCCATAACTTGTTTACCTGTGGGCTATCCCACACTACACACATAAATGAATGTAAAGGAGACAAGTAGCTAGTTCTTAGAGTTAATAGGTAATGCAAGTCTTTAAAGCATATTAACAGTAAAAATCTTAGGGGAAAAAAAAAAACCTGTGCACACACAGCCAGAGCATAGGGCCCACTACAGGCTGGGTGTAATTACATAGGAAAGTAATTTAATCTTAGAGCCACAACACTTGGAGATTAATTTGCCCAAGGGCTAAGTGGAGAGAGTACCACCTATTTCAGAGCAGGGCTGGGATTCAAAAGAGATGTGGGGCATGGAAACAAATTAGTTTTCCCTCTCCACTGGTGTGAAGCCTCTTCTAGAGATGACCAAAGGCTGGTACTTTTACACCTCTTCCCTCCCTCCCTCAAGCCCACCTTTCTGAAGTTTGAAGGAGGTTTCCAAATAATCTTACTTAGAAAGAACAGTATTTATACCAGCCAGTTAGGATATCTCGGGACACACCAGAAAGGCAACATGAAATACCCGCTTCTGTAAAAAAGAAAAGAAAAGAAAAGAAAAGTGTTCGAATTTGGAAAAAAAAAAAACAAAAACGAGTTGTGGAATTAAGACAGAGGAGACCAAAGTAATATAAACCCGAAGAGAGTTTTCACAAACTCCATCTATTTGGTTTGTGCTTTCCCCATATTTTATTAAATTCCTTTAAAAAAAAAAAAAATCTCAGCAGCATTAACAAAGACAACATATGTACAAACATTTTACAAAAGAAAACATTACCAATATCAGCTGTGGTAAGGGTAAGACGAGGAACAGACACTGAGTTTCCGGGGTGGTGCCTGTCTTCAAACAGAGACATCTAAGATGTGTTCAGGCAGCGGAAACAGGCTTCTTTCCTGGTGACACACATGTGTAGTCGGCAATACACGCGATGGTACATGAGGATACTACACAGGCCCCGTTAACAACTCCTCTTCTCATCCGTAAGGCCGCGATACAAGTGGAGCTCATCAACCAACCAACCCAAGGCAGTTTCCCAGCTAAACTCATATAAGCCTTCAAAATGGATTTGGTCACTTGCAAGCGACGTGGGGCCCTCATACGCACTTGCTTCTGACACATTTCGCTGCGCCACCCTTTCCTTCACTCTCCGGTCAGGCTCTCGTTGGACCGAAAGGGAAGGAATTTCAGAAAGGTTTCCTTCAACACAGAGGTAAAAAGACAGATGACCCTGAGACCGGGAGCCATTAAACTCGGTGCGCGCGCGCAAAGGGGAGAGGGAAGGCATCTATTTAGGAGGAGAAACGTCTCCTTTGGGCCGAGAATCGGGGAGCGGGACTCACTTTGGTCTGGGACGATGCCGAAACCCGGGCCCCCGCCCTGCTCCCTGCCCCGCCGGGTACCTACAAACTCGGTTCCTTTCTCAACTCCCCCAGCTCCTTGACCTCCACCTTCCTGTACTTCCCGGACTTCCTCCGGTTGCTGATCACCAGGACGGCCACGCCGGCCACGAGGGCCACCACGACCACCACGATGACGGCGATGAGCCCGGCGGTGAGGCGCTTCATGGAGAAGCGGGGGGGCTTCTCGTCCAGGTAGTAGATGAGCGTCCGCTCCACGCGCAGGGGCTCGCCGCGCACGCGCAGGTCCAGGCCGCCGGGGCCCTGGAACAGGGACTCGCCCTTGACGTCGCGCTCGAAGTAGTAGGCGGCGTCGGCGATGTCCACGTCGCCGGAGCCCTTCTCCGACGCGTTCTGCCGCAGCTCGATCTGGATGGTGGGCTGCTCGTAGTGCACGGCCGCCAGGAAGCGGGGCTGCAGGCGGTAGCGCTCGCGGAGGAGCCGCCGCAGCTCGGCGTCTAGGTCCGAGCGGTTGAAGGCGCGCGCGGCCGGGTGGTGGCGCAGGTCGATGAGGATGTGGTGCGTGCGCACCAGCTCGTCGCAGCGCAGGCTCAGGTCGCCCTTGTCGGTGCGGCGCACGCCCACCGAGTTCACGCACCAGCACACCGCCGTCTGGTTGCACTGGCGCGCCTTGAATCGGCCCTCGTGGTCGCAGTCGGGGTTGTAGAGGCCGTCGTTGTCCACCAGCGCGTGCTCGCTGGGGCGCACCAGCGCGCGGCCGCTCTTGGGGGCGCTCATGCGCGCCTTGAGCAGCAGGCACTTGGAGGTCAGCGTGGAGCAGTCCACCGCCACGCCCGAGCCCAGCGCGCGGCACTGACAGCGGCCGCCGGGGCCG